GTTTCTCTTCAATTTGAGTGGTGCCACATCAGCAAATGGAGGTCTCGAAAGCTTTACCATAGGAGTAAGGCTGGGTTTACAAAGATGATGTAGCTCTTTCCCAGTCCTATTTTGAGAGCCTTCTAACCTAACCAGACTATTCATAAATTGTGCAGTAATGTATCAAATAGTGTTTCTTTGTTATTCATAATGTTTTCCCTGTCCAATTCTTTGAGAAATGGATGGCCTCCTCCTTCTTCGTAGTCTGTCTCAGTCTGTAAGCTGGGCTGATACCTGTGCACCATGTGCATTCCGCTGGGTTTGAAACACCAGTGGCTCAGCCTCAAAACTCACATCAACACGTCACCATGGTAGGACAGACAGACAAGTTTGTCTCCCTTTGCAGCCAGGGGTTGCTAGGGGTATAGATATAAGACCAGTGAAATAAATGAGGTTGACAAGACAGACAGATTGCAGCAGGCTTCGTGATAGGTAAGACTTCAGACCCTAGAACTCCCTTTGAGAGTATCTGAGCCCCAGCAATGGGGTAGGGGATGGAGAGGTATCTGTTCTTGCTGTGTTGACAGCCAGAAGGGCTCAGAGCCCATGCTGGATATGCACCCATGGGTGTTCTGTGTCAGGGCTAGTCTTGGAGTCCCTAGGGTAATGGGTATCACTCTGGCTCATGGAGCAATGGGCCATGTCCTTGTCCTCTTTCCAGAATCCAAGGGGTAGAATGTGAATGACTCACTACACATGGCATGTGGTCCATCCCCTTGCACACATTCCTACCATCTTGCTAGGACCTTTTGTGGCATTCCCACCTTGCTCACTGGATATTGGAACATTCCCTGCACTCCAGCCTGTGTGGAGCCAGCAAGAGCTAGCAAGAGCTAGCCTGGCTGCATGGTCTACCTGTCATCCCACTTCCTAAGTACCCCCTGTCCCCTATAGGAAGGGCTACCTCATGTTACAGATGAAGCAACTGAGGGCAGGAAGGTGGCATACTTGGTCCCAGGAGGGAGGGCAGCAGGGCTAGAACTTGAGTGCAGGCCTCTGGATTCCCAGACAGGCTTACTACCTGGCCTGGCTGCTTGCCCTCTTGGGTCTGCTGGGGACAGGCTCACAGGGCTCACTGCCTGTCCCTGAGTCTTTATCAGGGATCCTGGAGGGCAAAGAGCACTGCTAACACCCCTCTGGGGGCTGTGGGGATCTCAAGAGGTGACTGGTACACAGTGGCATATAGCAACCCTCTACAGATAGGAGTGGTCTTCTGCTTTGAAGACCATTTCTCTGAGAAGATGCTATGAACTGAGTTGGTGACTTGGCAGGCTCAGGTTGGGCAGCTGAATGATCACTGTAGTACAATGAAAAGAATTCTGGTGTGGGGGTCAGGGCCCAAGTCCAGCCCTGGCTGGGCTGTGTGTAAGCGACCTTAGAGACATGTCGTCCCCTTTCTGGGCCTCAGGTTCCCCAGGTGTCCCATGTGGAGCGCAAGCTGCTGTGGCATCCTGTGGCACATCACAAGTGTCCCCAGCAAGACCCTGGTCAGAGCTAAAAGTGGTAGTTTGTTACCCCTTGCTCCTGACAGATCTGTGTCAGTCTCTCCAGCTGCTCATCTTGGATGACCTTGGCCTTCTCATACTGCTGGACGACCATCTCCATCTCCACCTTCACCGGCAGGACGTAAGCTAGAAGACAGAGAGAGAGAGAGCTCCGTGAAGGATGCAGCAGTGGCAGGCTTGGGCTGCGGAGAGACTGGCCCCAGCCTTCAGTCAGCAGCAGGTCTGAGGTCTAGACTTGGTTCCCTGAGGATGTGAGGAGAAAATCCCCAGGTACCCAACAGCCTCCAGAAGGTACAAGAAAGCTAGAACCATAACTCACTGTGGGAGAGAGTGCTAGATGACCCCCAATATCTCTTTTCCTCCATCCTAACAGAACTCTCACTTTTTGGCTGTGCACATGGCTGCTGGGAATAAAGACTACATTTTTGAGCCTGCTTTGCAGCCAGGGGTTGCCAGAAGGGCACATTCGTTCTGGAGAAAGGGATGCAAGGGGAGGTGGATGCAGTAGGTACTGGAAGCTCTCCTTAAAAGGCATCCTGGGTTGGTGATGATGTGGAGATATGGGAATCCTCCCACACTGCTGCTGGGGATATAAAATGGTATATAGCTGCATTGCAAAATAGTTTGGTAGTTCTTTAAAATATTAAAGAATGACCACATGCTGCAGCAATTCCACTGCTAGGTGGTAATGACAAGTGAAAATATATGTCCACAGAAAAACTTACATGAAGGTTCATAACAGCATTGTTCACAATAGCGCCAAAGGAGAAACAACACAAAAGCCCATAAACTGACAAATGGATAAACAACTGTGACATATTTCTACAATGGAATTCAGCAATTCCAAAGGAATGAAGTTCTGATACAAGCTACAATGTGGGTAAACCTTCACAAAACTATAAGTGAAAGAAGCCAGTCACAGAAGACAATATAGAGATGATTCCATTTATATGAGATTCCAGAATAGGCATATCCATAGAGACAGAAAGTAGAGTAGTGGTTGCCTAGGGCTGTGGGATGGGGAATGGGGAGTTACTGTTAATGGGTACAGGTACTTTTTAGGGGGTGATGAAAAGGCTTTAAACAGATTTTGGTGATGATTGCACAACTCTGTGAATATATGAAAAATCACTGAACTATATACTTTAAATAAAGGGGCTCTGATGGCATAGTGGGTAAGGCATTTGCTGCAAACCAGAAGGTCAGTGGTTCAAACCCACCAGCTGCTCCATGGGAGGAAGATGACGTAATCTACTTCCATAAAGATTTAGACCTTTGTGAACCCAATGGGAGTTCTGTGAGTCAGAACTGACTTAATGGCAGTGGGTTTGGTTTATATACTTTAAATGGGTGAATTTCATGATATATGAAGTATATATTTCAATAAAGATGTTTTTAAAAAGACAGTTGAGGCCTTTCCTTTGCCTCTATATTTTCCTCTTCCCTTCTTCCTTTTGCTGGCTGAAATGAGATGTGAGAGCTGTCACTCAAACAGCCATCTTGGATCATGAGGCGACTTTAGAAAGGCTATGTGCAGCAGAGCAACAAAACAGAAGAAGCCTGGCTTTTGACTACAGGGAGTACCACACTAGCCCTGGACTGCCTACCTGCAGACTTTCATGAGAGAAATAGGCTTCTATTTATTGAAGTCACTGTCATTCTGGGTCTCTGTTACTCACCGAAGATCCTATTTGTAACTGATATACACACTGAGACCCAGAGCAGAAAGCCTGGACTCTGTGGTTCTGAGGATCCTATGATCTCCCAACTAGTGGCACCTTCATGGACCCTCCTCTGAGTACTTCTCTAGGCTTTGGACTTCTGGGCTCCTTGGAAGTCTTAGTGTCAACCTCTGACTTTAACCTGGCCTCTGTCCTTCACACTCTTCTTGTGCCTCTCAGAACTCAGCCCTTTCTGTACTTCTCAGAAACTTTGGTCACATGCTTCTCTTGATACTGCCTTCTTGAGCCCTACTTGTCTCTGCTCTCCAAGCCCTCTTTCCACTCAAGCCTTCCAACATCCAGATGTTCTCTAGCTGCTGCAGAGGTCACGCAGAGAAGAGAAATCAGGATTTTTCTGTTTGCTTCCAGACTTAAGGACAGCCCACATGTCCCTGAGACCAGAGGCTGCCCTAAGCTGCTGTTGCCTCCTCAGATCTCTGCTGAAACCGGTTCACATCCTGGGTAAGAGTAGCAAATTAACACCCACACAGTCCACCCAGCACATCTCTAGCGTCAGGCTCCCAGTGGCACAGAAATGCTGATGTGTCAGGAAAAGGGAAGAGCATTCACAATGGGGGTTGTTGAGATTCATTTCTGTGAGGATGTCTGGCTGTGCACAGCTGGCAGAGGAAACCCAGAAGATGCTGTTCTTACCCCAAGGGGAACAGATGTTCTTATGGACAGAGCCAAGAGCAGGGCCCCAAACAGTGAGAGAGAGGAGGGGAACAGCTGCAAGAGCACTGGGGAGGGGAGAGTTTGCTGTAATCCTCATTCCTCCTGGTCTCAGTTTCCTTACCTTTCAAATAAGGGAGATGGACTAGGTGACCTCTCAGAGCTTTCCCCAGCTTGGGCATTCCAAAGTTGAATCCAACTGTATTCTAGTTTGATACAGACTCTGGATTAGGGGATCCCTGATGAGACACCAGGGTGGAAAACAGGACCAAACCCCATAGTGTTCACAGGGTGGGATGTAGGGGTAGGGACTGGGGAGAGGGGCTCGGCTCAGGGTGAGAGACTCTGGAGCCCATCCTTCCTACCTTACACCAATCAGGCCAATGCTATTGGGGGTCTTCTCATAGCCACAATGTCTACCAGTTGCAATCAAAATTCAGGGCTGGGAGGAACAATTCAGAAAATGAGGGTGAGAATGGTTGCACAACTTGAAGAATGTAATTAATGTCATGAAATTGTACATACAGAGATTGTTGAGTTGGTATATGTGTTGCTGTTGAAAAAGTTTTGAAAAAAAAAAAAATCAGGGCTGGAAAAGTCCCTAGAAGTCTGTTCTATTGGTTTAAAACCTGTGCTCCAGAAAGTTTAGAGGTTCCTTAGAGGTGCCTTGAGGAATCAGGAGGAAGGCAAGGAGGTAGGGTCTGGCCACCTCTCCTTCAAGTCAGTGAAGCTACACTTTCAATCTATTCCACACGCTGGGCATCTGCTTAAGGATTTTGCTGCTAGAAAGAAAAAGCCAAAGTTTGGGAGTCATTAGTCTATAACCTCTTTGTCATGTCTGGCCCCTCTACATGACCACTTGGTCTCTGGCCACCCACATTCTAGGAGGGGAGCCCACCTTTGGGGAGGTGGCTCAGCCTATGTGCAGTGGCTCTGTGCCTAGTCCTCCTGTGGCTGAGATGAGGTGGGCCTTCCTGCCATGCCCTCAGTGGTCCAAGGAGCCCAATGACTTGCTTCTTCCTCCTCTCATGAGATGACTTCAGGGACCTATTGAAGATGAATATGCCCCCTCCTCAAGTCCCTGCCCTCTAGACCACTCCATCCTAGTACCCTGCACTGCTCTTCAGGGATGAGGTTTGCAGTCCACTCCCCTCCCAGGCTTCCTCCTCTGGGGCACACACTCTGGTTTGTCACCACCTTCTGGAATTATATGAACATCCCAGGTCAGGGCACAGCTCTCTAGGTAACAATGGCTCAGTGAGGAAGGCTGTCCTCTGATGGTAGCCAAGGATAAAGCAAAGAGCAGATCAGGCATTTTATGGGAGTGGAGACCCAGAGATAGGACTAGATGTCACTAAAGGTGCTTGAAGCATGGCCAGAAACCCAATCAAGCCAGCAGCTCCCACAGAAACATCCCCCAGTTGTTTGTAGGTACACGCTTGGGGGAGATTCAGCTTGTCTTTTGTGAACATAAAGTGGGACAGACCCTGCAGGTCTTGACCAGACAACCTGGACAAAGCCCATGGTGAGTCTGCAGGTCTCTGTAGGGTGAGGGCGGTCCATGGTTGGTGTGCATTAAGACCCCTGTAACATAAAAAGTTGGTTTTTCCAGAACTGCAGCCCTGCCATAAGCTCACATGGGAAGAATAGGCCACCCAGGCACACAATGAACAGTTATGTCAGAATGAACATGTGATCTCCAATGGGCAGTGGGGAGCCCCAGTGTTGGCATGTGATAACTGAGCAGTGTGTGAGTGGCTCCTGAATATAGGACACCTAGGGAGCAAGGACAGGCCTGGTTCTCTCTGAGGTAGCAGTCCCCAGCCTTACCCTTGATGCTGCTGGGGCGCACACCCACCTCACACAGCCTTTCCCTTCTCTTAGGTGAGAGCTCTGGTGTCTGGAGAGCTCCCTACAGCCCTGCCAGCCCCATTGACCCCTAACAGACAACTCACCATCGATGACTCTCTTCACTCGCCAGATCCGGAGCATGATGATGAGGCTGATGGCATCCCAGGGGCTCCTGGGCCCATTGGCCACAGTGGAGGCCACCATTGGGGCCAAGGACAGGATGATCACAGCCCCGTCAAACACCTGGGAAAGGAGGTGAGTTTCAGTGTCTGGGCTGGGACACTGCAGGCTCCGTTGGCCACGCTGGATATGCTGGGGCCAGAGCTCAGGTCATGCAAAACAGCCCTGCCCAGGTCAACCCCATTCCTGGCTGCCTCTGTCGGACCTCCTCAGTCTTCAGGCCTCCCCTTCCTACAAGTGCTTCTGAGCATTGTCTTCCTTCCAAGTGGCCTCAGTCTCTCTCTAGTCATTCTTTCAGATGCCTTGGGCTATTCCATTTCTGGTGTCTAGTCCCTTCTTGGGATGGGGCTTACATTCTTTTTTCTAAGACCCTGGGCAGGGAATGAGCTGAATGGACCAATCTTACTGAATCCCTCACTGTAGGAGGTGGGGGGAAAGCTGAAGGCAAGGTAAGGGGTGGCTCCTACCCCTTGAGTAGCAGGTATCCATACTGTATCTCATGTCTATCTAGTACCAAGGAGGGGTGGGGCTAGGAGATGAAAGGGCCCCAGGCTGTGTCATTAAATCCTGGGCCCTGACCTCTTTCTGGCCTTGATCTGAGCCTTTCATAAGCCATACCCCTCTATGTCCACTCCCAGACTGAGCCTAGATACAAAGAGGCTAAGGAATAGACAGGGTAGTGAGGAAGGAGTAGACAGTAGGGCTTCCCCATCACTTCACCAGAGATGCTTGTTAGTTAGAACAACTCAACTGACATATGCCACCCCTTTTATGTGAAGTGGAATAGCCTGTTTGCTCTGCAGAAACCCAGTCTGAGAAGCACTTTAATAGTGTCCTATTCAGCTATCTGACTTAGAGTGGATTTACTGGTTTCAAAACACATTTCAAACACTTTCCAAATTGACTCAGGAATAACTTCTAGAAGTTCAGAATTTCAAGGAGAAATTTTTAAACATTCCTTTGTTGGAAACGTTCTCAGTTCATTCCTCACCAGCCTGAGCCTCCTTCCCTGTCTCACTCAACAAACATCTCCAAAGAGGCTCCTGCAGTTAAGTGCAAGAGGAGATGGCCTTTTCTGATGGGTCCCACCTGGGGCGGATGGAACGTGAAATTTTCTACCTTCAAGGATGGTCTCACTTCGTGGAAGCAAAACTGGGCAATCTACTTCCGTAAAGATCTACTGCCTCGGAAACCCAATGTGGGTTGCTATGGGTTGGAATCAACTTGATGACAGTGGGTTTGGTTTTTCAAGGATGGTCGGGCTGGGCACTGGTTTTTACCTCTATTTTGTTTTCAATGTAATCCCAGATTCCGAGGACTACAATCCGTAGAACAGTCTGAGGATAGACAGAGAGAAAAGAGGTTATGATTATTGCTCTCCAGTATCCTTCCCCCATATCCATCATCAGTGAAGATTCTGGAACTCTGCTTCCCTGGTAGGAAAGTCTACCTCCTCCAACTATATCTTAGGCCTTATGCCCTCTCCAACCCCACTGTAAGTTCCCTGCTCCAATCTGGGTGATGACAATGCCTCTCTCCCTTCAAGTTCAGCCCCTCCCATCCATTTTCCTATAGCCAGAAATGTCTTCTATAGCATACCCTTGCCTAGACCACTTCCTTGCTCAAAACCCATCAATGCTCACAGGACATGAAAAATACACTCCAAATCCCTTGGAATGACAGTAAGGACTGCCTCCCTTTCCTGCACCATCTCTTGCCACTCCTGTCACGTTCTCCCTGCCACAAACCACTTGCAGATCTACAAACCTGAAAGCTCTCCTATTGCTTTGTTTTTGCATGTGGCAAAGAGTGCTGGTTGACTCCTGTCCCTCTTGAAGATCTGTTCTCTCCTCCTACTGGTATGCTTTGGAGATACCGTGGAATCAGTTCCAGACCACCACAATAAAGTGAATGTCACAGTAAAGTGAGTCATATGAATTTTTTTTTGTTTCCCAGTGCATATTAAAATTATGTTTACACTATATTGTAATCTATTAAGCATGCAACAGCATTATGAAAAAATTTGAAATATTGTGAGAATTACCAAAATGTGACATAGAGACATGAAGTGAGCTTATACTGTTGGAAAAATAGTGCCGATAGACAGGGTTGCCACAAACCTTCAATTTGTAAAATATGCAGTACCGATGAAAAGCAATAGAGCAAAGCACAATAAAACAAGGTATGACTGTACAAAAACTGAAGCTTTAGCAGTCCACCAGATAAAGACTAAATTTCCCAGTCTTTCTTGCTTCCAGAAGTGGCCATATGACTAAGTTTGGCCAGTGGCACATGAGCAGAAGCACTGTGCACAACTTCTGGGTTGTGCCCTTAAAGGAATTAGGCTCTTCCTCCTCTTTTCCTCTTCCCAAAGACTAGAACTTGGGTGTGTGAGTGCAGTGGTTGAGTCATCTTCAACTAAGATGAACCATCTTCAGCTAAGGTGGATGTTGGGTCCCTGCCAGCCCCAAGCTACCGCACCAGCCTTAACTGCCTATGCAACCCGTTCTTTCATGAAAGATAAATGAACTTGGTTTTCTTGTTACAGAAACTTGTCATGTTCCCTAACCGGCAGGACTCTTTCCCCTTTCTCTGCCTGACAAAGGCCTTCTGTAGCCTCAGTTCAAATGTCACCTCTGTGATCCTCTTCCACACTTCCCAGGCTTAGTTGGTATCTCTTTTCTCAGTGTTCCTATAAACAAACCAAAACCAAACAAAACCACTGCCATAAAGTCCATTTTGACTCAGCAACCCTATAGCAGAGTAGAACTGCTCTGTAGGGTTTCCAAGGTTGTAAATCTTTACCGAAGTAGGTTGCTTCATCTTTCTCCCATGGAGCAGCTGGTAGGTTCGAAATACTGACATTTTGGTTAGCAGCCAAATGCTTTAACCACTGGCCACCAGAGCTCCTCCAGTGTTACCATATCTTGTGGTGATTGTGTGCCTGATCCCACAATTAAGGCTCAAGAAACACTACCTCATTTCTCTCTTTTACCTCTTAATCCCTGGCATAGACAGTGAGTGATTCTGCATTGTGAGTAAGTGAGCAATGGCATGAATGAATGAATCAATGAATGAATAATTCCTGAAAATTCTTGTAACTCATCCCAAATGCTGCTGCCTTCAGGAGTGGTTTCTTCATCAGGAGTACATTTTTGTTTCCAAGGCTGTAAATCTTTACAAAAGCAGACTGCTTCATCTTTCTTCTGCAGAGTGGCTGGTGGGTTTAGAACCACTGACCTTCTGGGTAGCAGTCAAATACCTTAACCACTACACCACCAGAGCTCCTACCTTCGTCCAAAGGGACTACTTAAGTGTTGGCCTCAGATGATTCTGGTACATTTGTCTGTAGGGCCTTCCTTGAACCAAGATGACTTTCATTTACAGTAATTCACAGCAGCTGGTGCCCACTCTCTCACATGCTTGCAGTACAAGGCCAGCCAGCTGAACTGCAGGCCAGCTGCAAAAGCCCATGTATCTCCACCCACACTTGTTATGCCACAAAAAGGCTTGGCTGATGAAATCCACCTTTTCCTCATAAATACTGGCCTGATTTCCATGAAAGGATGAGGAGAAGGTGTAATGCTAATGGCAACTTGATGCCCACTCCTATATGGCTTCCCAATATATGGGTTGGGGGTCTCACACTTAACTGCAAGACAGCTCTTAGGGGTAGAAGCAGGTCTGGGTTGGGAGTCTAAAGATATCTTGAGGTTACAGCTCTGTGATGGGCTTGTTATGTGGTCTGAGCAAGTCAAATCCACTCTCTGAGCCCCAGTTTTTCCTCCTACCAGAGAGGTGGGTTAGATGATTTCACGGGATCCTCCTAGTTCTAAAGGAGCTCTGGTGACAAAGTGCCTTAGGCATTTGACAACTAACCAGAAGGTTAGTGGTTCAAACCCACCAGGGGCTCCACAGAAGGAAGACTGGGCAATCTACTTCTGTAAAGCTTTACCATCTTGGAAACCCAAGGGGGTTGCTATGAGTCGTAATTGACTCAATGGCAGTGAGTTTGGTTTTGGTTTTTTAGTCCTAAAAGCCTATAAATCTTACTTGTGAGAATAGCATCTGTCATCTAGTATATGCCATGAAGTGCCTGTTCACCTCACATGTGACCCTCATTTTACAGATGGGGAAGCTGCAGCTCAGAGAGGGTAAGGAACCTGCCTAAGGTCACACAGCATTCAGTGGTAAAGTCAGGATTAGACCCAGGGGTTTTTGTAGACTGTATTCAAGCCTTGTAAAATCCCCACACAGTGTCCTGGTCTCTTTCTTCCATAGCTGCTCAAACTCACTAATTGTAGCTTCACACAGTGCTTGCCTCCTGTGAAATACCACATTGACCACTTCTACCTAGAACTTTTGACTGTGGGGCTCCTGGAGCAAAAAGTCCAGGTTAGGACAGAGGGAAATAGGGCCTGGGCCAAACTGCATTCCTTCTGCTTCTTTAAAAATAAGGCTTTTCCTAGCCTAGGTGGTGGAGGGAGGAAGAAGGGAGCTGGCCAGGTGTAGATTCAGCAAGCAGCTCCAGAGAGGGGAGGAGGAGCACATAGTACATGCACAGAGGCTTGCTGCTCTAGAAAAGGATGTAATTTTAATGGTTTATGGACCAGATGATGCCAGGGAGGCAAGTTGAGCAGCTGGAACACTGGCTACCTGCCATGCCCCCTTGCCAGCCAGCCACGTGCAGGCCCCCCTCCTCCTCTGGGGGCCTTTCCATCCTAGCCCAGCCCACAGAAACAGAACAGCCCCTAAGCAGCTGCGGAAAATGCTTGGCAGACACCTCCTGGCCCAGCCTCCTGCCAGGGGTGAGGACATAGCAGCCTCCAAGGCAGGATCAAAACCAGAATGAGAACCCAGTTCTGAAATGCCCTGCCTGGTGGCCTTTCCCCTGCAGTATCCTTCTCCTCTCAACGCACTTTTGCCACAAACCTCATCCATGGAGGCAGGGATCTGGCCACGCTGCCCTGCCACCCCACAGCACTAGCCCAGGTCTTACATAGAGGGGGCTGATTAATCACTTGACTGGTTTCTCAATGGGCTGGCCAAGACTCTCTGCTTCATAAACATCTGGGGGTTTTATTTAAAATGTAGATTCCCTAAGTATATACCCCAAAGAATCAGAAGATAGAAACTTGTACACGAATGTTCACTGCAGCATAACAGCCAAAAAACCCGTGTCCATTAACAGATGAATAGATGAACAAAATGTGGTATGAACAGACAATGGAATATTATTTAGCCATAAAGAGAAATGAAGTCCTGATACATGGCGTGACAGGGATGAATCTTGAAAACATTAAGTGGACAAATACTGTGTGATTCCACTTGGATGAAATATCTAGAATACGTAACTTCACAAGGACAGGAAGTAGATGAGAGGTTAGCAGGGGCTGGGGGGCGGGGTAAAGAAGTTATTGCTTAGGGGGTAAAGGGTTTCTGCTTGGGGTGATGAAAAATTTTGGAAATAGATAGTCGGTGACGGTTGCACAACATGGTGAATGTAATTAGTGCCATTGAACTGTATACCTAAATATGGTTAAAATGGAAAATTTTATGTTCTATATATTTTGCCAGTGCTCTGGGGGTGTAGTGCCTAAGGCATTTGACTGCTAACCAGAAGGCTGGTGGTTCAAATCCACCAGCCACTCCTCGGAAGGAAGACTGGGCAATCTACTTTTGTAGAGATACTGCCTGGGAAACCCAAGGAGGGGTTGCTGTGAGTTGGATCCGACTCGATGGCAGTGAGTTTGGTTCTTTTTGGTATATATTTTGCTACAATAAATAATGCAGATTCCTGGCCTCTCATAGAGACCCACTAAGAATCTCTGGATGGATGTAAGGCCCAGAAATATGCTTTTTTTTTTTTTTTTTCTTAAAGAGTTGGGTATACACAGAATACTTCATGAGTGGTTTATTTTCTAAGTCAACAAGAGAAAGGTAATGGGAGTTTATCAGTGCACAGAAAACCTTATGAAAGAAAAGAAGTATGTATGATGGAAATGTTTACACACATATCAAAAGGGCACATGAGTTTGACATCCTGCTCATCACGGGCACAAAGACGAGGCACGTGCACCTGGTCTGTGGCCTTGTAGGTGATGGTATTGAACACAGGCAAGCACTGCTGACACACTCATTCATCTGAAGCCAAAACAGGTAAACAGGATTTTACATATTTGGGAGGCATGATCATTTAAAAAATACATGTAGATAGGGTTTTTTAAAAACAATATTTATTTGAGTTTTGGTGAAAGTTTACACAGCAAGTCAGGTCCCCATTTAATAATTTCCGCACTCATTGTTCAATGACCTTAGTGACATTTATCACAATGGG